AAAAATTTATATATATATATATATATATATATATATATATATATATATATATATATATATATATATATATATAATTAAATCAGGAACAATGAATACAGTTGTGTTATAAAGGCTTACCCCAAGTCATGTTTTAGAAAAAGTAATCCAAGTAAAGTTTAATATAAGTGAAGTGTAGGTCTATATTGGGTTCAAAGAAATTGTAAAATTATAGTTTTGGTATTTTTTAAAGCAGATTATTAAATGATGTTCACTATTGATTCATTTTGCTTGTTCACTTCATGGTCAATTTTATTTTACAACATTTGGAGCCATACAATCAAGCATAATGCGATCTAGACAAGAGAAATTGTACATTATGTAGTCAAATTTAATATTTGGATTCGCATTATTTTGTGATGTACCAGTATAGAGGCAGAAGGAAAATGTATGCATGTACTTGATACAGTTCAAGTATCATTCTTGGCCATAGGGTGGAGACAAAACCTAATTTACCAGAAAGCATACTGTATCTAGTCTGCTCTCCAGGTACACAGAAAAACACAAATAAATGCTAACGGTCTTTCACATTATTCTATAAAGTCTAAACATTTCATGTATTAAACTGTTATGAAAAACACATTCTTGGCAAGTATGTACTTTAAGGGATAAAGAAGAACAAACATCCAGATGAAAGACAAATGAAAGACATTTATAGATACCCATACAGTATAATGAGACAGCGCATACATAGGTCATGTAATTTTCTCTCAAAGAGCATCAATTGATGAGTCAGGATCAACAGTTAAGACATATGGTAAAATATTTACTCAGTGTGACCAATCCAATCTTAAGTCTACCATCTAACAAAACATGTTGAGAAGCAGTAACAGCTGTAAACCATTTTGATTGTAAATGCTGACAGAGTGTATTTTAATCAGTGTTAACTAAAAAACATTCAGTGTGCTGCCAAAGAAATCAGTTTCTGGTTCACTTATAATGTTAGCCAAAGTTGTTTTGCGCCAAAAACAATGATAGTTTAATTGTCCATGATCATTTTCCACCCTCTCTCTGGCCCTTCCTGTTATACAGGAAGCGAAGTAGCAGCGTAATTACAACAGCAGCTTTCTATTGTGCTTTCACACATATTTTTTCAGGTGTGCAATATACAGTTAATAAAGTGAAATTTTGGGTTAATGATTATTTCCTATGTCAGGGGTGTCTAAACTCAGTCTTGGAGGGCCAGTGTCCTGGAGAGTTTAGCTCCAACCCCATTAACTTTACTCACGACACCAAAAAAATACTTAAATCATTTGGACTGAGTCAAATTTACTGTTTGTTTTGCTGCTCCATATAAGTCTACTTTGAAAAATTTCAGTTCACTGAAAACTGTCATTTTTATTGAGCTTGTTGAGAGAGAGAGAGAGAGAGAGAGAGAAGGGAAATGCTTTATTTTTTATAGCTACTAGAGATCATTAAGCATATTATGCATGTCAATATCTGTCCAGAAACTGCCTACAGTAAATACAGATTTATGTGCGGCTATGGGATCAGCAATTTAACAGAAGATATATCATATGTGGACAAAAAGCACCCTGAGAACTGAAAAGTTCTTGATTAAAATGTCTTGCACTCTTATGTCTTATGCACTAGGTCAGTCACTGTATCGAATCTGACCGCTGTGCATAAAAGATGATACGAAGGTATGCAGGCTGAGGAGAAAGACAGAGGAAGCAACAGATGATTTATTCCTAAACAGAACAGACACAGCTAAATCTCACAGCACACTCTAGGGAACACTTGAGAAAAAGAAGTGTGTTTAGTTGTACTGAATGTGTGCTTGTAGTGTACCTCAAATCTTAAAAGTATATTTTTACATGCAGATAATATAAAATTAATGAAACTAAATGTCACTCAAGTGCACTTTAAGAGAGTACACTTTCATTGACTATGTTTCTTAACAAGTGCACTTTGTAATAATGTCAAATTAAAAGGTCAGTAATCATTAGGAGTAACTGAATGAGACTAACTGTTGACAAAAAGACATAAACGACTTTTTTTAGAGATTATTTTGACCTCCATTTATTCCTCAACTGTGCCCTGATGCTACCATGATGGGGTTTTTGTAAAGAATTGAGTCTCATGCTAGAACTGTTTAATTGCATGCAGTGAGTCAGTCCTTTTTACCATTTTGTGTATAAACTGTAATAAAATGCATTAAATATCAGAAATCTCTCTATAAACAGCAAAAAAGAATCACATGGTTCCAAATGGCAGTATGTTATTTTACTACATTTTCTAGAGTGATTATTCACCAGGTACTTACAGATCAGGTGATGCCAGGGAGATAAATAGAAGTGCTAATGGATACACTTGTTAAAAAGACGTTCATTTTAGCATCATTTTATTTTATTTAGTACTTATTTTAGAAATAATATACTATAAAAGAATATACTTAAGTGGGAACTGAATAAGTGTTTTTGGAAACTTAACTGCATTTTAATTGCATTTACATGAAAATGTATTCTAGTTTAAATTTATATAAAATTCTGAACTTTACAGTGCTTTTTTGTCCCACTTAAGTAGGACTTAAGTACATTTTTATATGTAATTTTCCGCGATTTTCTGTTTTTCAAGTTTTTTGAAACTTGTCTGCCATGTATTTAAATATATAATTAATTACACAATTTCAAGAATGAAAAATTAACTTTAAATTTAATATTGTAAAACACTACCGTTAAACTGAACAGTTTTACAGTTAAAATTATTTACTTAAAATTAAGTACACAATCAAGTACCTTACATGTGCTTTAGTACATCAAAATAAGTACACTTTTTGAAAGCATGACATAAGATTATTAAAATGTAATGATTTAAAAGTTCTTTAAAGTAAAACATTGTGACATTAATACAAAGAGCACATGTTAAGAAACATAGTACGTAAAACGTAAGTTTACTCTCTTTAATTACACTTGGCCTGCTATGTTATTAATATTATCTGCAAGTACAGTTTTTGCTTTCTTTAATATATTCTTTTAACATTAAGTACACTACAAGCACACTTCTTTTTCACAAGGGTAACAGGGAATGCTAATTAAAAGTGTAGGATTTTAGACAGAGGGCGTGTGGTTGAAGGGACGAAGGCAAGCTAATTTAGCTTAGTCTGGTGCAAGTAAACAATGCTTACAGCAGCGTTAAGCCTATCAAAGCCTTTTAAACATATCTGTGTTTAGTTTTATGGTCAGAAATAGATCATATGTGTTCCAGTTCCCAAGAAAAGACAGCTGACATTTTCAACTGCATACAAACAAAGTCAAACTAAGGAGGTGACACTTACATGCAAAGGAGCTCCATGAATCGAGTTAGTTCATTTGGTTCCTCCTGTCCTGAGTTATCAATGGAATTATCAAACATGTGCAGCTTCTCTAGCCACAGGCCCCCTGCAGCGCCATGGCCGCTCTTGGTTTTTTCTCTTTTCTTCTTTGTCTTCTTCCCTAACCTCAACATGACATTCACAGCTGAGACTAATCTGGCATCCATCAAAAATACATGACTCACTGCCCTCCTCCCATTCATCAACAGATGGAAATAATTTTTATGATAACAGCACAAAAAAAACAAAATATGATTAAACTGGGAAACCATATTAAATCATTATGAGAGGCTTATAAATTAAAACACACACAGTGGCAGAGAGACGTCTCTCCCTGAGTTCTCTTGTTGGCCTGAAGGGACAGTTTTGGGGCATATGCTGTTGACCACACTGAGCATGTGACAGCTAGAGTTTGAGACCACCTTCACTCATCACCACAAACCACAAGTTCAGTTGTGGCGTCCCTATAGACCAATTCACACCACACCAACAGACAGCTGACCGAGTATAAAACATCACATTCCAAGACCCGACAAACACAGATTCAGCATGTTCAATCGGCGAAAACAAGTGCTGACAGGGGTGATCCGACAAAACCTGATGAACGCGTTTCTTGTCATTTGTTGGCGTCTGTCTGGGCAGTATGAATTGATCTTAAAGGGATAGTTCACCCAAAAATGAAAATTTGACGTTTCTCTGCTTACCCCCAGGGCATCCAAGATGTAGGTGACTTTGTTTCTTCAGTAGAACACAAACGAAGATTTTTAACTCAAACCTTTGCAGTCTGTCAGTCATATAATGGAAGTGAATGGGAATCACGCTTATGAGAGTAAAAAAAAAACATACACAAACAAAACCAAATTAAACCCTGCGGCTCGTGACGATATATTGATGTGTAAAGACACGAAACGATCGGTCTGTGCAAGAAACTGAACAGTATTTATATAGTTTTTTCCTCTGATTTACTGCAATGTCCGAACTGTCCTGAGCGCATTCGCGTCTTCTTCTTCAGCCGGCAGATCGCAGACTTATAAGTGCATTACCGCCACCTATCTCTCAAATGGACCATTGACACTCCTAATTGAGATTGTGGATAGAGTGTCAATGATCCATTTGAGAGAAATGTGGCGGTAATGCACTTATAAGTCTGCGATCTGCCATAAAGCAAGAAGAAGAAGAAGACGCGTCACGCGCCCGCTGAAGAAGAAGACGCGAACATGCTCAGGACAGTTCGGACTTTGCAGTAAATCAGAGGTAAAAAACTATATAAATACTGTTCAGTTTCTTGCACAGACCGATCGTTTCGAGTCTTTACAGATCAATATATCATCACGAGGCGTAGGGTTTAATTTGGTTTTGTTTGTGTATGTTTTTTTTACTCTCAAAGGGGTGATTCCTATTCACTTCCATTATATGATTGACAGACTGCAACGGTTTGAGTTAAAAATCTTAGTTTGTGTTCTACTGAAGAAACAAAGTCACCTACATCTTGGATGCCCTGGGGGTAAGCAGATAAACATCACATTTCCATTTTTGGGTGAACTATCCCTTTAAGACAACCTGATCAATGTATATGTGTGAACACATTCAATATGTGTAATTTAGAAGTATTTGTGCACATGTTCACATGTTCAGTGGGAATTAAGTGGATAATTGGATTGTTGTCATTTGATATTGCTGCAGTCTCATGTGAGTGACAAGTTGTCCCACCCTTGAGCGTCCCCCACAGAGTTGTCCCCCACAGAGACTATGGAACTTTAATTCAATTAAAATCAGAGAAGATAAAAACGTAATTCAATTCAAATTTAACAGTAAGGATGGGGACAAAGAAACTGGTTGATATTCTGTTGTAAATCAAGCATTTAAAAATCATTGTAAAAGTAATTCTTCATAAACTTTGTTGCTGTTGAATTTAAAAATTATTTTTCAGTATACAATAAGCATAGTTAAATCTGTCAAATAATGTGACTAATTTTAGTATCTGATTTTTCTTCTAAAAATTCTATCAGCCAAACCATGTAGAAGTAAAATATTTATCTAATGTAAAGTCAATTCTATTTAAAATCCATTTATTTCATACTAAGTATAGCTAAAATCTATTATCATATTTACTGACATACCACTCGAGACTTACTGATATATAAAATTATAATTAAACTGTATTTGGAGTACTACTTGTGCACAATGCACATTTCTTAATATTAAGCCAAAATGTGTTTTAATGTCACTATTATTAAGGATTGTATGATCTTTGAATAATATCGGTCTTTAAGTGCAAGATATTTAAAGTGTACCTGAAGTATACTTGCAATAGTTCCAGTTTAGCACAATCAAATATACTTCAGTCTTTAGTTGGACTTCAGCACTATGTCCGCACAATTAAAGTGTATTAAGTACAAAATTAGTTGTTCCAATTTAGCATACTTTAAGTATACCAGTTTAGTATACTAAAAGTACAATTGCAGGGTATTTTTATTAAGTACATAAATATGTAAATGTGTTTGTAGAATATTTAGAATGAAATAATTGTATTTCAAATACATTTTAGTACATGTATTTTTCACTATGGAAGATAAAGATCATAAAAAAAAGATAATTAATATAAGTCTGCATGACTTGGCCAAAAAAGTCATATTGTATATAAACACAGTGTTGCTCTTTACTCTAAAACATTACTCTAAAACATAAAGCAGCTGAAATTAAATTGCAGCGTTTTTACAATCTTCTCACATTTGCAGCCAGGAAAAACATATTAATGAGATGGATAAGTTATAAGACTCCGACTATATCTGGATGGCACACGATTTTAATGGAACTAATCCCACTGGAATATTTAACATGTTTAGTTAATGGTCAGCCATGTAAATTTTATGATGTCTGGAAGCCTTATATCAGTAATCTAGGGATTGATTTGTCAGCTATCCTGTTGAAGAGTTTTCCTATTTATGTACCCCAAGTGAGCTTGCATAAGATTTTGAACTTGTATTGTACTACCACTATGTATTTAGTGTGGTTATCCACTTAATTTTTGAGTATCTAATTTTTTCCTTTTTAGTGGCCTAGGACAAATCTGCTTATTCTTACTTTCGCCGACTCCCTTTTTTATGATTATGGTTTATATTCATGTGTGTTTTGTCAAAGTTGGAAAATATTCAATAAATATATTGGGGGGAAAAATGCAGCTTTTGATCTGATAATCGTGAATCAGATTTATTTCAATTGATTATGCACCCCCATTTGTTCATTTTAATGCTACATTGATTTAATTCATTATTAGCTTCTCTTCACCTCACAAACCTCAGCAGTTCCTTCACAAACCCTCAAAAGTTTGAGAACCCTTTTTGGGAAACCTGATTACTATATGAATACTAAGTCATGAGACAAATGGGACAGAAATGGCCCCATTGCCTCAGAAAGTGCCACAAATCTATGCATAATATAACACAAAATGAGTTTGGTGTGTATGCGTATATCTCTGCCCACAGTAGGTACATGTGACTGTGGATACACATGTGTGTCCTACACAGCCCTGTGTGACACTATGATATTTCCTGTTTCTCCTCCACATTGTCTCTATGGATGTGCTGTATTGTCAAGGTGCTGTAATAGGAGTCCTAAGTACTGTAAGTATATTTACTCAGGTGGTTTCAATGGAGGTTTTGTGTTTAACAAGAGAGAAACTAAGAGCCCATAAGAGCTCCTAGGGATTATAGTGATAACTGTGTGAATATGCACAATCATATTTATACATATAGGCTGTATGAATATGTGTATGTTGTGGATATTGCTAATTAATCTCATATATATATATATATATATATATATATATATATTTTTTTTTTTTATATATATATATATTTTTTTTTTTAATTTATATATATTTTTTTTTAATTCCATGGTCTGTCTGAATACTGGATTCTGATTGGCTGGCGGGTATGCAGTAAAACCGTTTAATGCACAGGTAGTTCCAAGTCAGTTGAATCACCGTTCTATATTAATGGGCTGCTTTAATTGATGCACACTAACCAACACACATCACTCGAACACACACACACACTGTGTGAGAGATCGCAGATTGAGCTGCACACACATAAACTTGTTGTCAACGCTTCGCTGCAAAGAGTAATACTAGTTTTAACTTGTCTATAACTTGGCAAATGACCATGGAATAAGCGGGATAATCACCGGCTGGATTTTTAAAGGATTTTCTTTGCCTCCACATCGTGCATTTACAATCCTTTAATGCACGGCTAGCCGTTGATTATCCCTTACATACTGCATATACACACAGATAGTCTTCTGAGAAAGAGAAAACAACTCAGAAGTTTGGAACATTAGTACCTTTGCTCTTTGCTTTCTTTTGTCTGGAAGATGTTGTATTGCTCCTTTGGGAGATCAACTCTGTTTCATCTGAAAGAAAGAAATGTGTAAATTACATCACTTTGCACTAAATGAGGTTACATTACGCCCTTTAATGTCTCCCGGTAAGTGTTGGAAAAAGAATGATGAGATGATCATTCTCATAATTTAGTCTCTTGACGCATTCCACTCCATAACATTACACACTGCATGTATGTATGTATGTATGTATGTATCCCACTCATACACAACTGTGTACTATAGAACTCTGAGGGTGTATTAGGTTTTTAAGAACAGAAAAGTCATAAGAAAGAAGTCCTGTCTTGACTTTTTAGGATAAAACTAGTCCTTGATGATGAAACGAGTCCCTGAGGCACAATTAATTCAGCAATGACCTACTATTGATAGAATGAATTAGGTGAAAATAGGCAAACTCACATACACACCTGTGATGGATGTGGTCCTGTTTTGGATCGCTGCCAGTTTTTGGCTGTTTTCAGCCACAGGTTTCAGCAGCTCAATGGCACCCCCACACTGCAGCTCATTGCCATTGATGTAGACCTCCCTAAAGATGAGGCTTGACCAATGAATGCATTTAATTTCACATTAAACTATAGAGTCTGTTATGCGTGACTTTTAAAGATCAGAATAAGATGTTAGTGGTCCTTGTTCAATACACACAGACAACAAATTAGGCCCCTATTTATCAGTAAATGTTTATGAAAAATAAGCAAGTTCATTTTCTTATTTTCTCAATTGTAATGACTTGCAAGTAGGACAGCATTAAGACAGATGTTTTAATTGTTTCTCAGTTTAAATTAAATTGGTTAATCATTCTTACAGACCATCAGATTCAGTATTGAAACACTAGAGGAAATACCTGTGTTTATGTGAACTGAATAAAACAATTAACGCATCACCTTGTGATGCAAGATGTTTCTTGAGCTACAAAAGCCCTCAAACACATTAGCTCAATCTCTTTTTCATTCTCAGTTGATGAAATCGATTCTTGACAATACCCTATGCACTTTGCATCTGAAAAGAGCTTCAGTTTAACCTTTGTAAAGTGCATTTTTTTCTACAGAACCTGGAGTTTTATAGGCATTTTCCATTGGAAAGCGCTGTGTTATGAAACTTACATCTTCGGAACATGCTGATTTATGAGCAGCTTGGTCTCCAAAAGGTGCACTCAGGATGGCCATGTACTTTGAGATGATGTCCAAATTTCTAGGTACCTGCAAATATTAACTTTATGCACACTCGGACTGCTCTTAGGGGAGTATTGAAGCTCAATGTGGATACAGTTAGATGATCCACATGCCTTATTGTGATGGCCAGCATGGGTGGAAATAATCCTTTTCTGTCTTCCCTTACGAAACAGAAGTTTATTCAAGTGTGCTATTAGTATACTTCTTTTAAACTAAAAATAGGAAAGTATACTTTCAGTCTACTTTTTATGTACTTCTCAGAAATATACTTAAAATTACATTTAAGTATACTTGACTTATACTTAGAAAAAGTCTAAATATATTTGAGCTATACTTGTGCTCCGGGAATCCATGTTTTCATTGTTATCCGGTAGGGGGTGCTATTACATATCTGCTGTACAGAATTTCCAAAACAAAAGCGAAGAAGAAACCGAAACAACAGTTGCTTCCCCATGTAATCTAACACGATCATCAGACATAAAACAGCATCAAAACTGTGTAATGTTATGAATTAAAATGTCGACCCATGAAGAGCTTTGAGGTGTTGATCGACTCCATCTACATTTTGATTATCATTCTGAATCCAATTCATCGTATTTTTTCAGCTTTTTCTTCAAAATGTTGTTTGTTTCTTTCTTTTTTTAATGAAACTTTCCCACATTCAAGTGTTTAAAAAAAAGAATGCATGACGCTAGAATAAAATGTTTTTGTTTACAAGCAGATACCCTGTTCTTTCTTTTGATGTTTTGTATGTTCAGATATTCATATAACAAAATATATACAACGTAATACCTAAATAGGGACATAGTAGTATACTTAAAGTATGATGTAACATTCACTTAAAGAAAACTTATGAGTATACTTGCAGTATAAAACTACTAAACTAGTAGTTTACTGAGACTATACTTCAA